CACTTATTTAAACCATAAAAGTTTGAGCTGGATGGATCACAAAAACAGTGACAACAGTATAAAAAAATTAAGCTGAGCAAAAAAATACTTTGGTACCTCAAAAACATTTTTTTTTTCAAATAAATCCTGGAGCAGTTTTTGAATCTGCTTACTTTTTCTTTGCAAGSTGGGGCATCTAACTAAGAATGTACAGTGTGAGTGTCATCACTCTAGCTTGTTTCTGTTTGGAGAAAAATGACGCGTTGCAACCATCCCTTGTTGCTACTGTCCCTGGTCTCCCCTACAGCATTTAATTGGTTCCAAACAGTGACAGAGTGACAGAAACTTCTGTGTTAACATTGGAAATTTTCTGTCCACTTTAGCACCTATTTCTTATGGGGTTCCTCATGGCTCGATTCTTGGACCTCTGCTGTTTCCATTCTACGYGACCTGATCTAGAGAGAATAACTTATAACTTTACAATCTGACTTGAMTGAAATACTTGTTGGCTTCAGTCAGGTCTAGTTTTCACTCCCAACTTGTTTGCTGTTACCCATCTCTTAACTGGAATACATTTCACCTGTTCTGTCCTCATTCCAATGACTTTCTTTGTGCTACAGATTGAATTGTAAAATATTCTTGTTGACTTATAAATGGTCTTGTCCCCTTCATATATCCAATTTACTTGAACCTTCTTCCTTCATGGATCAGATCCATTTGGCTGTCTTRAAAATGAAGCTGAAGTTTAGAGATATTTAACCCAGTGTGAGTTGGTTTAGTCTTTAATGTACACTTTTTTGTCTTTGGGAAATTTTTGATTTTTTTTTTAATTTTTTACCATTCTTTTTACCTTTGTTTTTATAATTTTATGAATGGGATAATCAAACAGTAATATTGTTTCTACAAGTGTAAACTTACAATATCGTGATTGACTGGGTGGGAAATAAACTGTGATCTTGGTTTGTTTGTGATGAAGTGATGATGTATTCATAAAGCTCAGTAAGAAATCATTCGATCCAAACCTTTGCCTTTTTGGAAGCTGAACTATAAGAGGACTCTAGTACGTTTGTGCTGTTTACCAACAAAGTACTATACACTGACATTCAGAGACAGTTAGAGGTGGATATTCACTGGACACATCAGACAAAACAGTACTTGCTCTTTGTTTTACTTTTACTTGCAAGTTATTGTAACGAGAGGTTTTTAAAAAACTGTAAATAAAAAACCAGTTAGCCCACAGAGGAACGTGACAATCATGGCTCTGTACAAAAAAACATACAAATGTCAAAGGTTTGACAAGTGTTTCTAGCAGCACTGAAGATGGCAAAAGTCTGGTATTTCTTTGTCCCTTCGTCCCTGACGGCAGCAGGGCAAATATAGTCTTTTTGTGGAAARTCTTGGCTTTGGTACCCCTTTGTAATGCTAAAGTATCAATAAGGAAGATACTTTCTCACCATTGGCTCAAGGGGCACTTGAACTCTTTGTTCCTGCAAGCAAGATCCAAAAGACTAACAATCACAGTCACAATATTACATTTCTTTTCAGCTGTCTTCAAGTAAGACAGGTTGCAGCTTTTGGTACAAGTCCAGTAGCTTCAAATGTGCAAGGCCAGATAAGTCTTCAGCTGACAAATAGCTCAGTAAATGGCAAGAAACGACGAGAATGTTTGAGAGGAGCTGAACTCCCTCTAGAAAGGCCAGTGTAAATCCTCAAAGTCTGCAGATTGACCCATGCTTACATCCGTGTTCAGCAGCCTCCAGATGACCTCCATGGCCGCCTCATCACTGCTAAAGCTGCTCAGCCCTGGAACAAGCATGCTATCTAAGCCCAGTTGGGACGACTCACCTGGATGTAATCAAACAGAATAAAGAAAATAAAACGTAAGAAAGTGTTGGATTTAGGATAAACCAACTCAACCCAAGATCAATCTTTTAATTTGGGTTTTAAAGAAGACCTTTGTTTTATTTTGAACATATCTTTAAAGGATACCATAGAAATAAAGCTGTAGTGAGTTTTCTAAGCTGCAGAGCACATTACCTGTTTCCTCAGACATGGCACTGCTGGCACCAGCTGCCATCTTCGAGTCAGACTGAGATTCTGAAGAGCTGCCTGCTGCCTCCTCTTGGCTAGAAGCCTGGAGGAAGGAGATAAACATCAAAAACCATGATTTAAACAAACCAATACCAATAACTGCAAGTACTGAACATGCACATGGTCAGTGTCATTGTGTTTTATAGGGTCRCTTACGCTCCTGCTGCTCTGTAGACATTTCTCCTGGACAGAGCTGAACGGACTCGGGGCTCCACTTGAAGGAGATGAGTTTGCTCTGTTGTGAAATTTAATATAAAAAGAAATGATTGGAAACTAAGCTGGCTACGATGTTAATCAAATACTAAGGGGAGAGAGACTACAAGGACAGGCTAGCCCATATTAACATTTTTGCCAAGCATTTCTGTTTGACTCTCTAGAGCAGTGGTTCCCAAACTTTTCAGCTTTTGACCCACAAAATACCAGCAGCAGAGACCTGAGACCCCAGCTGTTGTTGGTTGATGAACATTGTTTTCACGTCAAATAAACAAGAGCATAGTAACAATATTTATTATGCTATTTTTGTCCATTTTAAGTACACTAACTTTATTTTTTTGTAACAAAAAAAAAGTCAAAAAATTATTGACAGTTGTAATCTTTGTGTGTAATTAATTCAGAAAATGTTTTCAGGACCCCACCTTGATATTTCGGGACCCCACTGTGGGTCCCGACCCCAACTTTGGGAACCACTGCTCTAGAGTAGCACAGTCTCAGAAAGATATCTGACAATATAACTTCATAGGATGAAGTGATGTCTGATTTTAAATATATTCATCTTTATTTCACCAGTCAAATCCCATTGAGATCATTTATCTCTTTTTCAAGGGAGGSCTGGGTGTGGGAGCAACCAATTGTACATGTTTTTGGTCCGTGGGGGAAAGCAGAGTACCCAGAGAAAATCCACGCAAGCACGGGGAAAACATGTAAACTCCGCACAGAAAGACCCCAGGTCCGAACCGGGGATCGAACCCAAGACTTTCTCGCTGTGGCGCATCAGTGCTAACCACTGAGCCGTCATGCATATGTACCAGGGAAAATGTACTAAGTAACATTAGGTACGGGGTAACATTGTTAAGGGGGAACATGGGTACTAGAGAAAATAAGTACCAGGACATGGTTACTAGATAGCATTGGTAAAAAGGAACATGATGTACTGGGTAAAATAGGTACTAAGTAACATAGATAACAGGAAAGATAGGTATCAGGAAACAGGTACTGAGTAACATAGGTACCAAAGAACTTAGGCACCCAGGAACATAGGTACTGAAGAAAATTGGTACACAAAAACATAGGTATCATGAACATAGGTACTTAGGAACAAAATTACTGGGTAAAATAGATCCTAAGAAGCATAGGTAACAGGGAACAGATACTAGGTAACATAGACCAAAGACCATAGTTACCAAGGAATATAGATACCAGGAAACATAGGCACCAAGAAATACCAGAAAATATAGGTACAGTATAACGTATAGGTATGAAACCTGTGAAAGAACCCTACATAAGCTAATATTAAGCCTCTACCCTTTTGCAAGACACCTTTAGTTTAGTTTGCTGCTGTTTCCAACAGAACAACATCAGTATTACAGTTGAATACTGAACATAAATATTCTCTGTGTGAAGCATTGGTACAGAGACTGTTGAATCAGTCAGCTGGGAGTAACACTCGAATTAGACAGGCTGTCTCATTTTATTTTCTCTCTTTTATAGACAATAATCTTGCAGATGACTTCTAAGGGATGCACCTGTACGAGTCCATGAGCTCGTTTGCGATTTGGGTCCCGATGCTGCCCGCGTAGATCATTGTGCCCACACTGCTGGCCAGGCCGGGGATTTCTGGGATTTGCTTTGAGTCTTCTATTGAAAGAGGGAAAACAGCAAAGGTTACACCAACAACACAAAAGACATCATGATCATACTGCAGTGGAAAACTCTTACCCTGTAGTGCTTTGGAGCTGCCAGCCTCCTCCTCATCTTTTGTGTGACCAGGTCCCCTGTTGGTGCAACGAAGTATTTATGGGTTGCTGTTGTTTCTTTTTAAACATTTCACTGCTTCACAATGGGTGAAATGAGACAGAAATGTCTGAGTTTTGATGTTTAAACTATGTAAGAAGTGAAAAGTTAAAACACGTAACAATCTGTTTTTAGTTATGTTGCGAGAGTTTTTGTATTTTTGTGTCTTGTTTCTTTGGCTCATTTTTACTCCCCAGTGCTTTTCAGTAGTTAGACTCTGCACCCTCTGCCAGCCTTACACACCTAGTTCTCAGTTTTAGTGTCACAGCTGCAGCCACTCTTCCCATTGAACCAATCAAAAATTGTGACGGAAACAAACAAAGAGCATATGTAATAAGGTCATTCCAAAGTGCAACTTGTTGGCTTTCAGGAACACTCAAAGAAATGAAGAGAAAACATTGTGGAAGTCAGTGAATGTTACTTTTATTGACCAAGCACAGGGAAAAAATATGGAATCACTGAATTCTGAGGAAAAAAGTATGGAATCACTCAAACTGGAGGTAGAAAATAAGGATACATCCAGTCAATTTCCTTTCCCTAAATGGACACCTGCCTCAGATTAGAACTGCTCATTAGTCTGCAGTTAAAAACACCTGCAGTCATGACACCTTGGAGGGCTGCTGGATGAAGTGGAGTGGCAAGAACCATGGCTTCAACAAGAGAAATTTCTCTTGAAACAAAAAAGAGGATTGTGAAACTTCTTGAAGAAGGTAACTCTTCACGCATGGTTGCTAAAGATGTGGGCTGTTCACAGTCAGCTGCATCCAAGGTATGGACCAAATACAAACAGCATGGAATGGTTGTTAAAGCCAAGTGTACTGGTAGACCAAGAAAGACATCAAAGTGTCAAGACAAACAACTTAACGCCATTTGTCTTGAAAACCGAAAAAGTACAACTGAACAGATGAAGCATAAATGGGAGGAAGCTGGAGCCAATGTATGTGACCGAACAGTAAGAAATCGCCTAAARGAAATGGGATTTCAACACAGGAAAGCCAAAAGAAAACCATCATTGACACCTAAACAAAAAAGAACAAGACATCAATGGGCTAAGGAGAGGCAATCATGGACTGTGGATGACTGGATGAAAGTTATCTTCAGTGATGAGTCAAGAATCTGCATTGGACAAGGTGATGATGCTGGAACTTTTGTTTAGTGCCGTTCCAGTGAGATTTATGAAGCGACTGCCTGAAGAAAACAACCAAATTTCCACAGTCCTTGATGATATGGGGCTGCATGTCAGGCAAGGGCACAGGGGAGATGACTGTGGTTACTTCTTCTATCAATGCACAAGTTTACATTGACATTTTGGACAGTTTTCTCATCCCTTCACTTGAACAGATGTTTGAAGGTGATGAAATAATTTTCCAACATGAAAATGCATCGTGCCATAGGACAAAAACAGTGAAGGCATTCCTTGGAGAAAGACACATTCAGTCGATGTCATGACCTGCAAACAGTCCAGATCTCAACCCAATTGAAAACCTGTAGCGGGAATTGAAAAAAATGGTCCACAAGAAGGCTCCGACCTGCAAAGCTGATCTGGCAACTGCTATCAAAGAGAGTTGGCACCAAACTAATGAAGAATACTGTTTGTCACTCATCAAGTCCATGCCTCAGAGACTGCAAGCCGTTATAAAAGCCAAAAGTGGTGCAACTAAATACTAGTGATGTATTTTGATGGTCTTTTGCTTTTCTGTTTTTCATGATTCCATACTTTTTTCCTCAGAATTGAGTGATTCCATATATTTTTTCCCTGTGCTTGGTCAATAAAAGTAACATTCACTGACTTCCACAATGTTTTCTCTTCATTTCTTTGAGTGTTCCTGAAAGCCAACAAGTTGCACTTTGGAATGATCTTATTATTGTATCATATTTTTGATCTGTTTGTTTTAAATAATGAAATGCCTGAATGAGTGCTCATCCAAGACTGGTGAATCCATGCTTTTTGCCAGGGGGTGTATTAAGTGAAAATGGAGTGTCTGTGAGACAGATACTTACAAGATAACCCTGTTTAAAGACACAATGAACTCAACTTCTTTGGTCCATGGATTTGTGAAACTAAACCACTGACTCTGAAGCGAAACGTAGGAGCCGTGCTTCGTTTTGAACTTGTAGCGCTGTGTCTCAACCTTCTCTTTGCTTCTAAGCACTGTGGAGAGATTGGTTAAGTTCAACAATTTGATGTAAAGACATTTTTCTGTCTTCAGAGGCTTTGCTCCATCACCTTGCCTGTGTTTCCCCGCGAGGTGCTGCAGGTCATCCTGATGGAAGTACTCGTAACACGATGTGCCGAGAACCTCCTGCGGTAAATAACCGATGACTGTCGTGGCTCTGGGAAAAAGACGGGGTGAAGACAAAGTTTAGTTCCTTTGTTTTTGGATTTTTCTTTTCTTATCGCTCCCAGGATTGTGAAGACTATACAAGAGCCTCTCGTGGAACACTCAAAGACACTTAAAACCCATTTGGCAAACGCTTTACAGTACTTGCATTGTGAAATTTACTTCCCAAAGAATGAGAAGAGATTCTCATGTGATGCCATCGAGATGCACAGCTTCTTCTGAGAAAAGATGGCAAAGACAGAAAGGATTATCTCCACTGACAGCTGATTTGATAAGAAAAAAAAGAAGCCGAGGCCTCCTGACCCCGACCCGCCTCTGCCATTCCTTTCTCAGCTGAACCGTGTATTCAGAGCAAAGCCACCATCGACACCAGAAACAGACGGAGCGAGAAACTGGAAACTCACTGTTGATCTACAAAAGTGAACTTGCCGTCGATTGCACAGCGAGTAACGAACTGAGTGGCTTTGACGTGGACGTCTCTGGGTGGTGGAGGGGAGACGTGAGGGTGGAGGCGGCACATCGTCACCAGGCAGTTCAGGCTGGAGGTCTCCTTGTCCCCAGCATCCCCCTCCGGGTCCAGCTGGCTGCTCGGCCAGCTCCGCATATATCCAGTGCAGTGGAGGGTGCAGTATCTGTACGAGTCTGTGTGGAGGAAAAACACTCATTTTTTTATTCATCTGAAACAAAACACCATTGAAAACTTCAAAACTACACACTATAGTGCAGGGGTTCTTAACCTTTTTGACCTCTGGACCCAATTTGTTGAACATAAAGTGGCACGAGGCCCAGTCAGACATTCCCAATGTATGGATCAAAATGATAATTATTCTAAATCTTGGTTTAATTTTTATTGTATTTACATTATAACTAAATTAAAATGCACTTAAAGTTCAAAAGTAAAACTCCTGTCAAATAATCACAAGACGTGATTATGACAACATTGTTTTAAATTGTAACCTGCCCAATTATTTGAACAAATACAAAGGTCAGTCAACAGACCACTCAGGCTTATCAGCACAAA